ACGAAGTTGACGACGTGCAGCAGTAGGTGCCATGCCCTCTTGCATGGCTGGTGCGGTGGACGACGTGCTGTGTGTTGGGTGCACGTCGACGAGCTAGTCTCGGAGAAGTACTGCCGTGTGGGCTGGGGGCCCAAGCGTGAACGCGGCAGGGGAGTGACAACGGGAGTTGTATGTTGGCCCTGTCCTCGCTTGGGCGGAGCCGACTTCGTGGTCGGGTGTGAGGGGAGCAGCCGACCTGCAGCAGTGGGCGAGCTGGTTGACGAGGAGGTCGACCTGCACGGGGGCCACTGCACGGGCGCCGACTTCAAGGTGGCGCCGACTTCAGGGAGGTCGACCTGGGAGGTCGACCTGCGGAGAACGTCAACTGGGTGACGTCAACTTGGGGCAGCCGACTTGGGTGGTCGGCTGACAAGACCTGCTGGTCGACTTGCTGGTGGTCGACCTGACCTGGTGGTCGACGAAGGAGGGGCCGACGTCGACCTCGACTCAGGACGCCGAGCAGTTGGGCGTCGAGTAGCGGGGCGTCAACTTCGTGACGCCGGCTTCGGGTGGCCGACTTGGGGGTCGGCCGACAACTGCGCCGGTCGACTTGGTGGTTGGTCGACCAGGACTGCTGGTCGACGTGATGCTGGTCGACCAGGAGGGACGTCGACCTAGAGCTGGTCGACCAGGGGGCGTGGTCGACCTGGTGAGGTCGACGTGGAGGTGGTCGTCGACCTGGGAGGTCAACGGGCACGTACGGGAGCTGCTGGTCGACGTGGTTGCCCGGTCGACCAGGTTACCTGGGTGACGAGGTTCTGCGGAGGAGTGCGACGGTCGCCCAGGCGAAGTTGGCGAGCCCGACCTCGGTGGTGGTATCCCGAGGTCGACGTGGCCGATCAGAAGCAGACGTCAGTAGGAGGTTGACGTGGTGCGTGCGCTGTGCAGGTGACGAGACTCTGCACGCCAATCATCTGCGCACACCTGCGAAGCGGGTGCGCTGCTGTTCTGCGTGAGCAACGCTGGCACGCCGTCAACCTGCGACGTTGGCACGCCGTCGACCTTGCATTGCTGGAGCGCGGTCGACCAAGTCGTGCTGGAACGCGGCCGACCAAGCTGCGCTGGCAGTTGGCCGACCTGAATGCTTGCTCTGATGTAGTATTGCTATGCCAACTTCATTGTACCATTGTTCTGAACTTTTCCTAGTGGAACTCTTTCCAACTTTCCCCGTGAACTAGCAAGTAGTGTGCGCACAAGGAAAACGACTAAGGACTAACGAACGCAGAGATCACACGAGCACCCGTGCCTAGCCCGTAGTCTAGCTCCCGTTGTACGAGTTATCTCCGCACCTGCGAGGGCCAACTTGGTTTAGTACCGCTAGCGTCGGCGGTGTACAGGACCGTGTTCATGGAGCGGCTGCGTCACGAGAGCGTACGAATGTAGGAGGGCGGAGCGTAGCTGGATGGTGGAATGCGGGGTACGAATAGTGAGGCTATGGAGGGGCTTACCCCGATTGGATCGATGTCGAGGGATGATAGAATAGCCTCCAACTATGGCTACTTCAAATTCATTCCAGACAAAATCGTCGTCTCTTGGCCGTTTGAAGGACGCCACGACCTGTCGACGTGGACAGAATCGATCGAGCGACAGCTTGAGATCGCTCGGCTAAAGAGATTCATAGATGGTTCCATCCCCATCCCACCAGCGCATGCAGTTGTGCTTCTTTTTCAATTTGGCGCGATGCAGTTACTAACGTTCACCACCATTTCCCGTTGTTGCTCCCCCACAGTACATATCGCTCTTAAGGCGTGCCGCTTGAAGATAGATGCCGGCTTTCAGGCATGGCAGTTTATCATGCACACGTATATGGCGAAGGACGACCTGTACATAGGTCAGTTAGAGCAGGCGCTCATTAACCTCGCGATGGGAGAGCACGAGTCCGCCACGTCCTATTGCAACCGTGCGTAGCGGATACTAGTGAACATGAGGATGGCGGGCATAGATTACTCACAAACGTCGTACATTACTCACGTCGTGAAGAGGTTGCCGCAGCAGTACAACCTCTTATGCAGGATGCTAATACTGCCGCAGGTGCGCGAACTGGACAAGGACACCCTCGCTAGCTATATCATCGAGGAGGAATGTACGTTGGCGGCGGAGGGACGGAAGGACCAGTTTCTTCCCAAGGCTAACCAAGTGTTTACCAAGAAGGGTAAGTCCTACCTTTAGCAGACTTCATCTCCTTCCCCTCCCACAACGGCACAGCAGCAGCAGCCTAAGCATGGGGGCGGGGTTAGTGAGGGAGAAGAGAAGGGGAAAGGGGCTAAGGCTGGCCACCCGAAAGAGGAAAGGGGGCTTCAAGGGGAAGTGCTATGTGTGTGGACAGCCAGGTCATGTTGCTTATTACTGTCAGCAGCGGGCGGATAAGAAGGCAGACAACGGTGGAGAGGGTTTCAGAGGCAACAGCACGAGCGGCAAGGGGGTTGACGGCTCTAAGGGGAGCGGATAGTCATCATGTGCGATGGTGAAGCCCGTTATAGAGCATAATCATCCCGTCGTGCTGGAGCCTAATTTTGGGGAGGCAGGCTATTGCAGCTGCCGTGAAGGCGAATCCGAGCGTCGTGCTACTTGATAGCGGATGCTTCCACCATCTCATGGGAGATCACTCTGCCTTTGTGGAGATAAGCAGCGTCGACAGCTGTATCAAACAGGTTTCCTCTAGAGGGACGAGGCACAGTTGCTCTCCTTGGAGACGGGGGCAGACATGTCTTAGTGCTGAACGTGCTGTACGTCCTTCTTTCTGCAGCTGCGTGATAGTGGCGTGCAGTTGCTGGATGCCCGGGACGTGACTCTGCTGCAGGCACCAGATGGATCGCTTCTTGATCGAGCGAAGTTCAAGGGGCGTGTTCTCAGTACGAACTTCCAGCCGTGGTCGACGCAGCAGAAGGAAGGTGAAACGGTGGCCCTTCGTACCTTGGCGACGGGCGTGCGGTCTAAGGCGGACATGTGGCGTGCGCGTCTCGCACACGTTGGTGTTGACACTGCGGCTCAAGGGTCAGTGAAGGGCTTGGGGTTGGAGAAGGGGGGCAAGTCCGGCATGCCATGCGTCTCCTGTGTTGGGGGGAAGATCACCGTCATACCTTTCCTACAATGGGAGAGGAGGATGATGAGCTGCTTGGGGTGGTGTATGCTGACCTGTCTGGCCCTTTTTGTGAGGCAGCTAAGGACGGTAGCCCCCCATGGGGGCTTTAATTCAGCAGGCCTTAAATATGAGATATTATTGTACGACCGGAAGTCACAAGAGGCCGGTGAGGACTTTAAAGCGGCGGTATACATTCATCAAGGTTTTTTTTTGGGGCATTTAGGGTGCACACTCTAGGACGTACGCTGATTAGCTTGCGAAATGACCCTCTTCCAGAAATGAGGGTGCGAAGGAGCCAACGGAACTGGCGAATCCCGCCAGTTTCGTCAAAAGGTTCGGTTGGAAAAAACAAACAGCGGCGGCTCCGCAATCATTTCGTGATGTTGGCATTGTGTTGGCGATCTTGCAACAACGTACAGCCAATCAAGGTTGGGGAGGGGATTGGCACAAAACCTAGAATCCAATCCTGTGTAGTAGCATTTTCAGGAGGGGGTTGTGTTATCACAAACCATGAATCGCACCTCGTCACTAAAGGTTGGAGCGAAGCTCAAGGCTACCTTGTTTTCAAGTGATAGACCTAGGCTTCTCCCTCGAAGTATCTCCGATGAGCCATTGGTGTTATTGATGGCACGCTCATCATATAGTAATTCATAAGAAAAGGCAACAGCTCGTCATTGACATGCATGGTAACACCTCGTATAATGTCTTAGGCTGTTGTTTCCTTTAACGTCATTTTCATGTACTCGCTGGTGGGCTGGGAAGGCTCGTCATGACTCGACGGCCCTATAGGACGCTTTCAGACGAATGATGTCACTACCTTGCTGATTTTGAATACAGTAATGATGTGTTTACCCTGCCCCCTTACCACTTTTTTATTTATCATCTCGGGATGCGATTATCCTGGCCCCTTAGCGCTCTGCTATTTATCATCTCGAGTGTTGGCAGCAAACGAGTCACGTGCCGCAACGGAAAGACGAGCTGTTCGACTGGGTGCATTCCTCACTACGTGCGCACTTCAAATGTGTGTTATCAAGTGAAGGCAATGTTTCTTATTTTAAAGACCATGCGACTCTATAGCTTCAACATGTAGTGTCGGATTGTACAGTCGTGGTTCATCCTGCACAACTTTATCACGGGAGATGTTGCTTTTGCCTGTGTGGCTAAGGACACTCCTGCACCCCCGCAGCAGCCCATTGTTTGTGAAGAGGTGCGTGACATGCTATCAAGCCTAACCTCCTCTTGCATTGGAAACACCAAGAGGGACAGAGCGTAGGAACCTTGTGTCATATTCTCAACGTAATTTCAGATCCGCGTAAATCATTGAGTGGTGCTGGTCCATCAAATGTTTACAGCTCATGCTCGCCGTCATTGTATTGGAAATGCGTAGTAACTTGGGAGTAGGGAAACCCCCTCACAACCCTTCAAGTTGGATTTTGGGGGCCACATACTATGGCTAGGTAAAAATCGTCCTGCACAACTTGACGAAGATAAATATGTCACATTAAATTGGCTGACCCGCAGTAAAATGATGCATCGTTTCAGTATGTAAGGAAATTTTCAAGAACAATCTGTGCTAGAAAATTTTGAAAGTGTTGCGTCGCCAACGAAACAATAGATTCGTTTCTAAAGTACAAGCGCCACCCCGAGCATAGCCCATTCAACAATGTCGAATGCCTTACCAATGCTAGTTATTGACGGACGCCACAACAAAACAGTATGGGGGTGTCAAGCAAATAGCATTATTGTTTTGGACACTAAGTTATTATTGGAATTGCGCTTGTAGAGTCCGAGAGCAACGAAAGTTGTGCCGTTCCGATTTGAGAACATTTCAATGTGTTTTTCAAGCTCAACACTATAGAGTGTGTTATAGAGCATAATCATGGTTCTGGCTGGAGTTTGTGTGCCGGGCTGCTTTAGCATGTACACGAGTCTTATCGCATAACCCATATTGGCCGAGAATTCAGTAAGAAATTTGGGATGGACATGAGCGTGTTCATGAAGAAGGATGTCGAAACAATGAACATATAGTTGTGTGGCTTTCGATCGCAAAAAATAGACAACGCATGTCCCGGTGGCAAATCTTATAGTGCAAGGCAAAGAGGTGAGTTGCTATAAAAGTGGGCTACTATCCATTTTCATAGGTCTAGATTTGTGTTCCACATGTTAACCCCAACAGCGCAAACATTTTGCTATAAGGGGCTGACGGTCGAGGACGAGGAGGACGAGGAGGATGAGGGGGAGGAGGCGGAGGAGAAGGAGTGAAAGGAGGAGGAGGAGGAGGAGGATGATGAGGAGGAGGAGGAGGAGGAGGAGGAGGAGGAGGAGGAGGAGGAGGAGGATGAGGAGGAGGAGGAGGAGGAGGAGGAGGAGGAGGAGGAGGAGGAGGAGGAGGAGGAGGAGGAAGACGAGGAGGAAGAGAGGAGGAGGAAGAGAGAGAGAGGCACCTTGCCTCAACCCTCTCCCTTAGCCCTCTGCCCTCTCGGTTCCCTAGTATAAGAGGCCCCTCTTGGCCTCTTGCCTCTCATTATTCAGTGGTGTGGCTGAATTTTTCGCTCGTTCGTTCGAGAGAGTGACAGAGAGAGAGAGAGGCACCTTGCCTCAACCCTCTCCCTTAGCCCTCTGCCCTCTCGGTTCCCTAGTATAAGAGGCCCCTCTTGGCCTATTGCCTCTCATTATTCAGTGGTGTGGCTGATTTTTTCGCTCGCGTCGACCGCCTTCGGCGGCCGACGCTCGACAGCGCGGCCTTCGGCTGCGCGCGAGGGACGGCAAGGGAGAAGCAAACAAGCGACTATCGGCATGACATACATCGGATGACAACAACTACCTCTACCTAAGACAACCATGGATCAATCCGGGGCGGATGCTACATCCGATCCGCCTGCAGGGCATGCAGAATGCCCGTCATCGTCTGCCACGCCGAGCGGACCACCAGAATGGCGGCGCCAATCGCGTCGGCTCCGGAACCTGCCCGCAGGTACCTCCGTAAGTCCCGCACAGCTGCGTCCAATTGCCCCACAGCCCCAACGCTTCCCCGCACGGGCGCGGCCAACACATGCGCTAGGAGGAGGGCAACCTGGTCGGCCGCGTCAAGACAGTCGTCCCGCGGGCCGTCAAGCAGAGAGTCCGCCGGAACAGGCGGAAGAGACCCGTGCGCCAGGGACTGCACAAGCAGGAGCGCACGGAGGCTCTCCGAGAGCCTCCATAACTGGCCGAGCGTCGCCTCCGGAACCTCGGCGCGCGGGGGAAGGAGCTCCTCCGCCAGAGAAGGGAGCTGTAGTCGAGGAAGTCCCGCCCCACCACCACGAGCAGGGGCAGATGGTGACGGCAGTGACACCGCGGGCGTCGGAGCAACCACGGAGCAGTCACAGTGACACCCAGCGGCTATTGTCCCTCACGGGCTATGGTGCGGGGGACTGGCTGATAGCCATCCCCTACATGCCCTCCCTCCGCCTCGATCCTGACCACTTCACATTCGCCCTCCAGTTCCGCCTAGGACTGCCTCTCCCCGTCCCTGACAACTGCGACTGCACAAAGAGAGTCGCCATAGCAGACAAACGCCTCCCCAACCACCTCCTCCGCTGCGGCACAGGGCACGGACGGACCAACACACACAACGAGCTGAGGGATGAGTGTGTGCGTATGGCCCAGGACGCGGGGTTCATAGTGCACAAGGAGAGCACGGCGTTTAGCCCGGTCGACAACAAGAAGGCCAACCTGGCCATTCGGGACAGAAGCTGTGGGGCGGTGTGGCTGGGTGACATAACCATCACCGACCCAATCAGCAAACGGGATGAAGCTGCCAGGAAGCCACGGGGATGGGCAGCAAGGGAGGCAGCAGATAAGAAAATCGGGTTATACCACGGCAGGGCCGAATTTGCAGGCTTTTACCCGCTGGCAGTCGAGCCCTTCTTGGAGCTCTAGGGGAATAGTGAGTAGGATTTGGTGCTTTGCTTGCTTGTCTGTTACACCCATACACTGCATGCTTGTACCTTGTTTGTTCATTAGAGAGAGAGAGAGAGAGAGAGAGAGAGAGAGAGAGAGAGAGAGAGAGAGAGAGAGAGATGGCTTGGGGTTAGTCCTTAGCCGTTTTTCAGCCTCCTAGACCTTGGTCTTAGTCCTTAGCCGTCTTCCAGCCTAGTTTCCTGGTATATAGTTCTTGGATGCACCCTTTCTGAGCTCATTCTTCACGGGTGAGTTTAGTTCACTCTCCAAAACCGGCGGCTCGCTCGAGAGAGAGCGAGAGAGAGAGAGAGAGAGAGAGAGAGAGAGAGAGAGAGAGAGAGAGAGAGAGAGAGAGAGAGAGAGAGAGAGAGAGAGAGAGAGAGAGATGGCTTGGGGTTAGTCCTTAGCCGTTTTTCAGCCTCCTAGACCTTGGTCTTAGTCCTTAGCCGTCTTCCAGCCTAGTTTCCTAGTATATAGTTCTTGGATGCACCCTTTCTGAGCTCATTCTTCACGGGTGAGTTTAGTTCACTCTCCAAAACCGGCGGCTCGCGCCGGCCGCCTTCGGCGGCCGCCGCTCGCCAGCGCGGCCTTCGGCCGCGCGTGAGGTGTGGCAAGGAATAGGGACGACAAGAATTATAACAACAAGTGTTACAACATGCAGTGGTAGTAACCTACATCAACAACAATACCCCCGGGCGTGCCTACACCGCCATGGGGAAGCCCAAGGCCAAGCCCACCGCCAAGGGGGCTGGCAAGGGGAAAGCACCGGCTACTCGGCGAGTATCCAGCACAGCCTCCCGTCCATCCAACGCAGGACGGATGCGGCTGCTGATACAAGGCCGAGGGGGGCCTGCCGGGCGGACTCTGCAAGCCGCATCATCGCCCCAGGCCCGGGCCCGAGCGCTGCACCAGGGGCACCAGGGACAAGGCCGATCAAGGGGAGATAATGCAGCATCTCCGTTGCTGCTGCCACTGCCGCCGACTGCTCCGACGGTACCATCCCCCCAACCTCGAGACTCTGACGCGCCAAACACACATGGAGCTGGTCCAGGACGTACGACAGCAGAGTCAGACACGTCCCCACGTGCATTACGCGCTGCTCGACGTGGAGAGGCGTCGCAGCAACATGAGCAGCAGCAGCACGAGGGGCTGGCGGGACGGGAGGGAACAGCTGCACCGGGGGAGGTGGCGGCTGATGCTGCTGAGGCTGGGGCAGCGGAAACAGGTTGGGCGGCTGCGTGTGCGGCTGAGCCTGAGGTGGCGACGGCGTTGGAGACCGACGTGGCTGCTGCGGCTGACGAGACGGAGACGGGACGGGAGGGGACACTGGCGGCGGAGACAACGGGAGCAGTGTCTGCTGCTGGGACTGCCGCCGCCTCTGACGGCGGCTTAACTTCACCCTCTGCGGTATGCCCGACGGCGCCACCGCTACCTCAGGGCGAGGGTCTGGCGGCGGAGGAGTTACTGACGGCACCCGGGTTGGCGGAATCCCCGGCATCACTCGAGGCGGCTGAGGTCGCCGCAGTCGTGGCTGGGGCGGCGAGGCTACAGGGAGGACCCCCGAACGAAGAGACTGCGCCGATTGCCGCTGAGTCCGCCGGAACTTCTGTTGCTGCCGCGGCCGCAAACATGCAGGTGCACGGCCGGGCGGGGAGTGATAGACCGGGTCACGGGGCCGGCGCCGCTGCTTGCGCCGCTCGCGGGAAGACGGGGAAGAAGCTCCGCGTCCAGCCAACACCGAGGCGGCCCGGAGCAGGGCTGGGACCTGGCGTCCCGGGACCCCTCCTGGGCTGGCTGCTGCAAGGGTAGTCGCCACAAGTGCCAATGCGTCCGTTGTCATCACCGGGCGGACCGTCAGGACCGAGCGCCGCTGTCGGCGGGAATGCACAGGAGCCAGTGATACCGCCGCCCACTGAGCCTGGCAACGGCAACTGCGCCACGCCAGCAGTGACCGAAGTGGCGTCTGCAGCTGATGGAATCACGCCTCCGCAGACCGGCACTAGGCGCTCAGCAAGGCTGGGAGCAATCACCTGGGGCCCGCCACGCGGCGGGCGAACGCCGTGGATGCCGGCGGGGCGGGGGGGACTTCCTGGCGCGGCAGGACCCGCAGGCGGCGCAGGAAGAGGAACGCGTGGGGGTTTACGCGGCGGTTTAAGGGGGGGACGAGGGGGGCGCAACCAGGCCCCAAGATCCGATATCCCTGTGCGGACAGGCCCTTGGCGGGAACGCCACGATAGGCCAAAGAGGCAGGAGGCGGAAGCGGGAGCGAATGAGGAGTGCGAGGCAACTGACAACTGCGTGAATGACCCAGAGTTTATGGGTGGTGAGGAGGTGGAGTCTGAAGAAATCTCCCTGGACGAGGAGCTGGAACCTGGTAGGAGAGCCACACAACACCAAGAGAGGGCGGCGGGAGAGGGTAACCAGCAAGCTCCGGCCGAGGGAGCAGAACACGCCACGGAAGACACAGACGTGCCATCCCCTGCTGACCTGGCCGGCGACGACGCCATCTGGCAGGTTGCAGGTAGCTGGAACCTGGACACTCTTCAGAAGGGGGACCAGCCTTTTCTCGTCCGCCGCCTGCCCCCCCAGATCCTGGACAGATACTGTCTCTGCATGTTGGCTGCACTTCATCGCTTGGACAAGAATCCGAGTTGCCGAGGTGGTTGGGTTGTGTTACAGTTTCTGCCAAGGCTAACCCTCAGACCTGCGCCCGAACCTGTTTTGGGGAGCCGCTGGACACAAATCGAGGCGCGCCTGCACAAATTTCAACGAGGCGAGTGGGTGGACCTCTTTGAGGAAGCAGGGGCCATCCCTGATACAGGGGGCCCGATAAGGCACCAGGCGGACGATGAAGGGGTTTGTGCGCGGGCAGAGGGACTGGTGAAAAAAGGCAATATCGCAAAAGCTGTTGCAGCCTTTCGAACAAGCCCACTAGCGGAGCCAACTCCAGCCACACTCGAGGCACTGCAAGCGAAGCACCCTGCAGCGGAGGAACAAATCCCGGCGTGGGTTACCGGAATCACCAACTCTGATCTGTCTGCCCCACTGGAGACACTTCGCGAAATCTTGGCGAAATGCCCGAATGGTGTTGGGGCGGGGCCTTCTGGAACCTGCTTTGAGCACCTGAGAGACCCAGCCCTCGCCAACGAGGAGGTGCTGCTTCTTTTCGCTAAGGTGGTGAATCGGCTTCTAAGCAGTTTTCAAGACCCCCACGTACGGGACCTGCTCCTACCTTGCCGATTGATTGCGCTTGAGAAACCACACGGTGGGGTACGACCGATCGCGATAGGAGAAGCCATTCTTCGCGTCGTAGCAAAGGCGGCGCTTCAATCGCTAGCGCCTAAGATTAGGGATTTTTTCCTCCCAGTTCAGTTTGGAGTAGCGGTCCCAGGAGGTGCGGAATGCATCATCCACACGGTTCGGTCCCTACTCCGGGAGGACGAGTGCCGTATCGCCCTACAGTTGGATGTAGAGAACGCTTTCAACAGCGTTGAGCGTCAAGCGTTCCTTAGTGCTCTGCAGTGGTCGACCCTCAACTCGATACTACCCCTTGTTCGCAACCTCTACGATGGACCATCGTGCCTGCTCTTAGACGCCCGACTCGGCCAAGACAACATCCAGAGCTCCCGAGGTGTCAGACAAGGAGACCCCCTGGGTCCACTACTGTTCGCGGCGGCAATCCAGCCGGCCCTCCTCAGTGTTGCCGTGACGATGCCGGAAGTCGCAGTGGTGGCCTACGCCGACGATATCACCATCGTCGGCCCACGCGAGGCGGCTAGCCGAGCCTTCTGCAAAATCGCCGAGGACCTTGCGGCGTGCGGGTTACGGTGCAACATATCCAAGTCGGCGGCGTGGAGTGCCGCCCTGGCAGGGGAGGACGACGAGCTGCCGCTAGGTTTGGCGGCGAACCCGGGAGGCATTCGGGTCCTGGGTAGCCCCATTGGCGGCACGGACTTCTGCACCGGCCAAGTCAGGACTACGTTGGAGGAAGCTGCTGCACTGCTCCCCCTCATCGCCCAGCTCAACCCGCAACACGCCGCGTTGATTGTCTCACGCAGCATCTCTAGGCGGATCTCCTACATGCTGCGGACGACCCCGGCGGCAACGCTGAGCCGGGAGGAATGGAGAGGATGGAGTGAGGCTCTGGTTGGCGCGACCCTCACAGCGGCCAAGCTCCGCATCCCCACATCGGAGCTGGAGCAGAGCTTGCTGTGGCGACAGGCAACTCTACCGATACAGCTGGGCGGCCTTGGGATCATTGACCCAATCTCAGAGGCTCCAGCTGCCTACATTGCCTCTGTCACGGCTGCATGCTCCCTCCTGCGGCACCTGAACCTTCCTCTGGACTGCCTGCTGCACAGGGCGACGACCCTACTGTCCCACGAGTGGTCCCCACCACCGCCTGACACCAACCCCTTGACACTGCTAGAAGAGGGACTACCGGCCCAAGAACAGGTGGTGCTGGAGGCTTACAGGGCAGGGAGCAGTGGCACCGGCAACCTGCAGCTGAGTCTCTCCAAGATCATCAACCAGCAGCGGGCAGTGGATCTGCTTGGGGACACGGTAGTGGACAGGCCTGGCACCAACAGAGGCCACGCGCTCCGCGTGATTAGTTTAAAAGGGAGCGGAGCTGGTGACTGGCTTCATGCAGTGCCGACGAGAGGTGACCTCTCCATTTCCCCTGGTCAGTTCTCATTGGCCCTAGGCCTTCGCCTAGGCTTGGAAATCCCAGTTGCCGACGTCTGCCCGTGCAAGCGATCCAACTCAATGAGTGGGGACAAGAGCCTCCCAAACCACCTGCTGCGCTGCCAGGACGGGGGAGATGCAGTTAGGACCCACAATGCGCTGGTATTCGTGGCCCTGCGCATGGCAGGCGAGGCCGGCTTCAAGACCTTTCATGAAACTTCGGCATTCTCACCACCGGTGCTCAGGAAGAGGGCGGATTTCGCTATACGGGATCCGGAGTCGGGAGAGACCTGGGTAACTGACGTCACCGTCACGGATCCAGTACTACAGAACCGGGACAGCCGAGCTCGCAGGCCGCCGGGGTGGGCGGCAGAGGAGGCCTCACAAAGGAAGCACAGGCTCTACGAGGGGCGGCCGACCTATGCTGGCTTCTTTGGGTTGGCGGTTGAGACCTACGGGGCCATGGCTGCGGACACGCTGCAGTTTCTCCGCATGCTGGCCACCCATGCAGCAAAAACGAAGTTCAGGCAGGGCCGCCTCACCACAACAGCGGCGCGGCTCACTGCACACTACCGGCAGAGATGGTCTGTGATGCTGCAGCGCAGCCAGGCCATCTCACTCCTCTCCAAGTCCAACCGGGCAGCGGAGGCGGCGTACCCGCAGGCAGCGGCAGACCCTTGGGCCCCTCGGCTGGGAGACCTCTGGCAGATGACTGAAGACGAGTACGAGGAGAGGGTAGCACCAGCGAGGGCGGCTTAGAGGGGCTGGAGGGTGAGAGGGGTAGGGACAGGAAGATGCTAGGCAACTGCCGGGGGTGCCAGGGGACAGGCGGGAGTATGGGAGGTAGGAGGGGCTGGAGTTGCTGCTGCTGGCGGCCTAGGCTAGGCACTGGGTGACCAGGGGGCGCACACACATGGCTCGTTTGCTCTGCTTGCCTCACTTGCACGGCTTGCTTGTCTCTTTGATATGTTAGTCTAGTTACCTGCTTGCTTACATGACTAGCCAAACAGACTAGCTATCAACTCCTGCCATGCCTGTACCTCCTGCATCATTATCAATACATGACCGCTTGAGAGAGAGAGAGAGAGAGAGAGAGAGAGAGAGAGAGAGAGAGAGAGAGAGGGAGAGAGAGAGAGGGAGAGAGAGAGAATGAGAGAGAGAGAGAGAGAGAGAGAGAGAGAGAGAGAGAGAGAGAGAGAGCAGCGTTACAAACTTCGCCACTCGCAGAACCATCAAATGCGACCCTGGAAGCATTAAAAGCGAAGCACCCTGGGGCAGGGAGCGAAATCCCGAACTGGGTAACAGGATTCGCCTCCAGCAACCTCGCAACGTCAGCAGAGACCTTTCGCGAAGTACTGGCGAAATGCCCCAACGGAATTGGAGCGGGACCCTCAGGCACCTGTTTCGAGCACCTTCGAGACCCCGCGCTCACCAACAATGAAGTATTCTCTTACCTGCATGGCGTCGTCAACCACGTCCTTAGCACCCACCTGCCAGCGGAACTGACGGAGCTTTTGCTACCATCTAGACTAGTAGCCCTGGAGAAACCGGACGGAGGTGTCAGACCCATAGCCATAGGAGAAGCGATACTACGACTCACAGCTAAGGCAGCGCTTAGGGAACTAAGCACGCCCATCCGAGAATACTTCCTCCCGGTACAATTTGGAGTGGCAGTTTTTGGAGGCGCCGAATGTATTATTCACACGGTGCGCGCGCTCTTAGCTGAGGATCCGAAGCGAGTGGCGCTGCAGTTAGATATCGAAAACGCCTTTAACTCGGTTGAACGCGCCGGTTTTTTCGAATCACTGCATTTCTCTGGACTCAGCCGCGTCATACCACTAGTGCGTACGCTGTACGGCACACCCTCCTGCCTACTACTGGATCACGGCTTCGCGGCACCACACATCGAGAGCGCGCGGGGTCCGTCAAGGAGACCCATTAGGCCCTATGCTTTTCGCAGCAGCTATTCAACCGGCGCTTCAGGTGGCGTCTGACATCTTCCCGTCGGTCACGGTCATGGCCTACGCGGATGATATCACCATCATAGGGACGGCGCAGGAAGCGGCACTCACCTTGGGGATCATCACCAGGCAACTCGCCGGCCGCGGCCTCAAATGCAACCT